GAGCCCGTCTTGGAGAAAAGCAGAGGGTGTATAGGTGGGAGCAAGGGCCAGGTAATGGGGGGAGCCCTGTCTCAACTCCTGACAGATTTGAAAACTGAGCACCCGTTTTTCCTATTCCTAGCCATCGCTGTAGTTAGACACATCACAGGTGATCTGCTCCTTTGGGGACTTCCTGGAACTTACAAAAAAGCCCAGATGGCACAGATTTGGCACAATGAGCTAACTTGAAAGAACTTAGTTGTAGGGTGTGTTAGAAGCACTTCCAGACTGTGTGCCCACTTATGGCCTGCAAGAGTGTGATTACAGCCACCCACTTGGCACATAATCCTCATTAGTTCTGTCCTGATATTAATTTACAATGGGGACTTACATGGGATCATCCTCAGATGAGAGATATGGGGGAAAGCAGGTGCCACAATATGCAGTGAAGTCGAGAGAGCAGGAGATTTAGCCACCCCTTCAGTGTCCCACTTGAACTGAAGGCTCTGGCAGCACTGGATTTTGTAGGAAGATATCCTTATGAGAACAAGGAAGACAAAGAAGTCTCAGGGGAGGGGGAGAAACCCTTCTGTGTAATTTCAAAGTTCATTTGGAGAACAAAACACAGAAAAGTGCTTGATGTAGAGCAGCCTTTTGAGGAGACATGGGGAGGTGGCTCATGCAATGCACAGGGCCTTGGCACAGTGCAAAACACAGGATTTTGTCATTCCCCCCTTAAGGTGGAAACTGCAGAAAGCATGTGAAGACGGCACTGTCTGTGCTGTTTGCTTTTAGTAAGAGGCCTACTAAGTGAGTCTGTGGGAACAACCACACCAGCGATAGCGGGGAGAGGGGAGGATTTGAGCAGAGAGTATGCTTGGAGGGTTTTTGCCCGATATGCACATCTCTCCATGTTCCCCAGGACTTCACATAACCCTGGCTCCAAGCTGCTTGCAAGACTGCTCCATATTCCAGCTGACGGGCACTGGTAGGGGACGCTTCTTGAGATCAGAGCTTACAGCTACAGCACTCTGGCATCATGTGCATGGCAGGCATGGGTGAAGGGCTGGTGAAGAAAGAACAGACCTATCAAACCCTAGAAATTCCCGTTCTCACTAGCCTGCTTCCCTGCTTTTTGACAGGCAGATTTCTTGCCTTTTCAGGGAGGCACTTGGCTTTGTGCCATGGATGCCTTGTGCCAGTCTGCCCCTGCACTGCTAACAAAGGACCACATCAGCCAGTAATTCTCAGGGCATTGACAGACTGGACTGTCAGGGGGAGGGAGAAGATTTGTCCTTTTCTCTACCTGCTCCCCTAAAGAGTCAAGAGAAAGGAAAACTGTATTTCAATATGAATGAGGGCCTAATTTTTGTTATTCTTCCTTGATTCCCTTCCTTCTGCAGTCTGTCATCTTGGGTCGACTGCAGGCTAGATCGTGCTACAGGGGACAGGCTGTCCAGAGCCAAGAGTTGGGCAAGTACTGAGGTCTGCAGGGCAGGAGTGTTTTCATACGCCTAACCTGGGGGGAGTGTTCACTTACAACAACAACAAAATAATAAAATTAAAGGTGCCTGTTTTGGACAAAAGCTCAGACAAGCTCGACAGAACACAAGGTAAAGATTTATTTTTTTGCCTTCCCCAAGCAACACACATCGCTGTCAGAGGATGGTGGTTCCTAGGAAAACCTCCGAGGGGCAGTGAGGCTCTAGGCATGGTTCCCTGCTCACTAATACCGAGCCAGCACCCTGCTGCCTCGCCGAGCACCACCAACATGAGCAGAATGGCACAGCGACACGCAGTGGCATTTCACATCGTTTACCAAAACACAGGTGACCCCCATTACAGCCAGCTAAGGCAGGAGAGCACCTAATCTATGTAAAATCTAAGACAATCTCTACCGCTATAACATTATCCCGTTGATCAAAATGCGTTTATCGGTGCTCTAAGGTAGGAAAACCCCAGCATTTCCGACCCAGTGGTGTGAGCTCCAGAGCTGGCTTTACAGCGTTAGCCAGCTGGTGCTTCCCCAGCCTCCATCTGTGTAAACTGGTGTTTTTGCATCACTTCAGAGAAAGCTTGAGCTCCAGCCCTCTGAAGGTAGGACCCTACTGAGTACAATGGGAGATCCTTGTAGGGGGAACTTCCTGAATGAAACACCTTCCAGCCACAGTCCTATCTCACTGTGCATAGACAAAGAAGCCAAGACTGCTTTTGGACTTGAGTTTTTGTCTCTTCTGCAGAAGCACTACAGAAAGGCTTTGTTAGAGCATGTTGCAGCCCAGTGAGTGGCTGCATTGAGTCCCATATACTTGATAAGAAAGATGTGAGCTAACATCTTTACAACTTCATGGGTGAAGGTATGGGTGTCAAGAATAAGCCAGTTTATTACTCACCTGACTAATGCTCCACAGTACATAATGAGCACATAATGAGCCAAGAACTGAAAAAGAAGGGGGTAGCCGCAGAATGAAGGGAGGGGGAGACACAACTCAGGGTCAAAAATCAAATTATTCCTGCTATTAGCCCTGTTGGGAAAACGAGGATTAGACTAGATCTGACCTGTGTTGCTGTTTCAGGTGAAAACAGTTCCAAAGGAAACACGAGTGGATACTTGCATCTGCTCTGTGAGTCATTCCCAGCCGGTATGTTTAAAAAGCACATCAGCTCTAGAGAGTCATAGGCAGTATATCCAGTCTGAAGGCTGATGGTGCCACAGGCAGATGTTCCAGACCTGATCACCCTGTGAGCTTTCCAAATGTCCACATCATGTTTCCCACAGCATTCCCTGTGTCTGTATGACTTCTGGATTTAGCTTTGCAATATGTTTCTGTGTGTATCATTTATCTGGGGGAAAGTAACTGGATTTCTTTTCCTAAATAAATTCCGAGTTTAGATGCTACGGTTTTATACACTTACACAAGTCTTATTTCTCTCACATTAAAAAATATATGGTTTGGTGACCTGATTAGAGGTATTGTTCGGGTGAGGGAGCAAATTATCCTCACTGGAAGGGGATATGTGGAAAAGAAATTTGGTGGTTAAAGCATAAAAAACAAAGGGAATGGAGGACAAATGGGATGAGAAAACAAAAATATGAACAAAGAGGAATAAAAAAAAGTGGTGGGGGGAAATTAAATCAGCTGCATGCTCGCTTCCAAAGCAGGTCTGACTCTGAACATCACTTGGACATTAGCTGGGAGAGAAGCTGATACACACGCAAGAACTGATCTATGTATGAAAATTGCAAACTGTGAGCAGTCCTGCTGCCTTTCCAAGCACACACACACACAGAGCTCTCCGAGGGAGGATTTCGCTGCTGGCAGAGGCGGTGTTACTCAGTCTGTAAAACTCTAATCCCTCTGTGGTTGATCCTCCCCAGCCGTGTGTCCTCGGACGACTCGGGGGTTCCCGCAGCACCAGGGCTGTGCCTTGGAACAACCCCGCGGGCTTTTCCCTCTCTGTAAGGCGCTGGTTTTGGCCAGCTCGGAGAACCTCCACGGGGACCACGCGTGTCCCGGGGCAACCCTGCCAGCAGGGGACATGGGGACAGGCGGCCCTCTGCCCCGCAAAGGGCAGCAGGACAGCTTCGCGTCCGAGGGAAAATCCTTTTCCGTTCGTGCATCTGCTCTGCGAGCACCGAGCGAGTGACCTGCCCAAAATGCACAGCCCGGCTGCCTCTGCTCGCTTTGGGGCCAGAACCAGGCTCTGGCTCTAGCTCGGTTTTCTCGTCCTTCACACCCGATTATAATCTCTTCCTCCCAAATTCCTAATAGTCCTGACTAGATCTTGTCAGGATTCTGAGAAACGAAATCATTAATTAGGAGGTGATCAAAAGTAAGCCCGGCAAGGACCCTTCCTTGCTGGCTCAGGGGACCAGCTGGGGCTCATTTCTCATTATGATTCAAGATGGGAGGTGGAGATAAATTGAAATCAAGGGAGGCTTTTCTCCGTCAGGTCCTAAAGACGTTTAACAGTACAGCAGGTTAGTAGCCACGCTCCTGCCTGCGTCCTGTTTCCTTGCACAGGAGGAGGTGGGGAATGTGCTTGATGCATCACATGCCCTCATTTGTACTTTTTTCAAGGCGGTTTTCCAGATTTTGTAACTCCCGGGCTGTGAGATCCTCCCGACAGGTTTTTAATTTAATAATAGCTGGGGGAGGAGGGTGGTAAGGGAAACAGTTTGTTCTCCCCAAGAAGCCTGTAGGCCCTAACTTCAACTTCCTAAGATCTGTAAAGCTCTTTTACAGCTGCACTGCTCTTGTCTCATTTTGAATCTGACCTGGTGATTCCTATCCCTCCCTGTTGTGTAACAATTTTTTTTTTTATTTTTGTTTTAAGATACGATTTTTTTTAAAGTCTTAAACGGTGGGAGGAAAAAGCTTGGAAAATATGCAGGACAGGACTGCCTGACTCAGCCTTAGGCCAACCTCTGGGAGAAGAAGCCTGGCTTTAGCCCTCTTCCCCGCCACACAGACACTGCTGTGTAGGGCCATCCCCCCTGCCCCCCGTCCGGATTCACTGGCAGGGAGGTGGGGGGTTTATCTGTTTGCAGTGATGGCTGCGATCTGCAATGCAGACGCACAAAGTCTCCGCATGCCCCGCGGTGGGCTCCACGGCCATTCTTTCTGTTTGGGTGGGGACCTGCGAGGAGGAAAGAAAGGAGTGTGTGAAATGTGGGGGTGGGGGGTGTCTGCCAAGCTCAGTCCAACTCACCGGGGGACTCCGCTCAGGCCTTGATGCCCCGAGGGGTGAGCAAGGACCACCTTTCGCACGCCCCAGCATGGAGGGATGTACTCATCCTCACCGTGGCTGCTACGAGCCAAGTTGGCTAGCGCAGCCCGGTGGCCCAGCCCTCCCCCAGTCCCTGCATACTCTAGAAGTCCATTTCCCCCGCCCCAATCAACCAACTTTTAACATGACAATGGCCATGACAATACGCTCCAGCCAAGGCCAAGCTGGGGAGGACTTATATTGGGTGCCTGCCCGCAGGCCGCCAGGAGTTTCGACGGCAACATCGCATCATGCTGGGAGCTGGGGGACCCGGCCCGGCTGTGAGCGCCCACCTGGCCACACTGCCCTACGTGCCGTACCCCGGCTCGGCCAGGTATGGGGACTACTACTGGTTCTCCGCAGGCAGCACGGACAGCGTGCCCACCGAGGAGGCTCCGGCGCCGGACGCGCTGCCCCTGCCCGCGGCTAAGACGCCCAGTCCCTCAGGTATGCGAGCGATCGGGCTGCCCGGGGCTGGGAGCGGCCCCGGGGGGCTGGGAGGAGATGCCCGATGCTGCGGGCGGCCCCGGCGGGGCTGCGGTGGCCGCGGCTCCGTGGGCGGGCAGGGGCTGCGGGAGCCGGCCTGGCCGCTATGTCCATACGGGACGGGCCAAAGGGGCGAGCAGAGGCGCCTCGGTTCCGCGGCCACAAAGCGGCCTCGGCCCACCTCCCCGCGCTGCGCTGCCCACGGCTGTGGAGCCCCTGCGAGTCCTCAGGGCACCCGCGATCTTAAATTATCCCGAGAGGCCGGATTTTACAGGTTTTTGAGCCTTCCCTGCCTTATTTTGCTCACCGCACTTCTCTTTTCCTCAGTGGACTCCCCAGCTTCTTCCACCTCTGGGACGCTCACCCAGTACTACACCCCCGACTCTGCCACTAGCCCCACTGCAGCAGGGACCACGTCTCCCCACTCCTCTCTGCAGAAGGTCAAGGCGCACGGCAAGGGCGTGGTGAAGACGGGCAAGAGCCGCACAGCCTTCTCGCAGGAGCAGCTGAAAGCCCTGCACCAGCGCTTCCAGAGCCAGAAGTACCTCAGCCCCCAGCAGATCCGAGAGCTGGCTGCTGCCCTTGAGCTCACCTACAAACAGGTGAGCATCTTGCTCTGAGTAGCAGCTGAGTTGGGGTCTCTTTTTGTGGTTTTCGTTTTTTCTTGGACCCCAGAGATGTTTATTTCACTATCTTGGAAGTGCTGCTGCTTACGTGAGAGACCAGAGGGTGTGAAAATTTATGACTCAATCTTCTTATGCTTGGTTCCAGCACTATCCACCCACTCCGTGCAGGTGTTTGACAGGGCCTGCAAGAGCAGCAAAGTAGGGCTATGCAGAGTCAGGTTACTGTTCTGTATGGACATGTGTTGTCTCTGAATGTAGAAAGATACCCGCACTGCTATGCAGGTGGCCTTTCCTGGTCGGAGTGGCACAGTGGTCTCTCGCTAGAGGGTCCTTGCTCTACTAGCTGCTTGTGTCCGACTAAAGGAATGACCCATTCCTGGGGTCCTGATCCGTGACCTTGGCACAGCAGAGAGATGGTACCATACAACCTGATTTCTTCAGTTGCCTTGGCCGGTGTTTTAGGTAGGGATTTTGAAGTCAGGAAAGATCGGGTGGTGATCTGAGGAGTAGGAATGCTCATTTTCGTGTCTCAGCTCTGTGATTTCACAGCCACCTGCATCTGCTGTACATTCTTAGCTGCTGAAATAGTTTACACTATTAGAAGTCAATCAGAAACCGGATTGTATCAGAAATAAGGATGTGTAGTAAGCTCTTAAAAATTAATTTCTCATTTCTTATGTCTTTTCCGCATCACTTTTAGGTGAAAACATGGTTTCAGAATCAACGGATGAAATTTAAGCGCTGCCAGAAGGAGAGCCAGTGGATGGATAACGGGCTGTATCTACCACAGGTGCGTAAAATTCCACATTAACAGCAGTCACGGCTCCCCCAGTCTGTGGGGAGAAGTGTATCGTGTCCAACCTGCTAATTCAAGCAATGCACATGACTTGGTATTACCAAGCCAGTGTATTTCTTGTAATACAGAGAAATTGGGCTTTCAGTGGTATCTCTTTAAGCTGGTTTTTCCCTGCAACGTGGTGTTCCTGGACTCTCTGAGCTGGAGATCACTAACGGAAGAGCAGCTCACCTCTGCTATTACTGTTCTATTGGGAGGACAATGGGCATGAAAAAGGCGCTATTGCTCAGCTTGGAGGAGGGGCTGGGGGAAAAAGGAGGACCCATTCAAAAAAATGGGCCGTTGGTGTGGTTCCGCACTGCTGAACGATTTTCTTTGTCTCCTAGAATGGGGTTCATCAGGCTGCATACCTGGATGTAGCACCTGCGTTTCACCAGGTCTTCCCTGTCGGCGCCGGCGGGAATTTTCAGGCTGTGCCCAGCGTGCACCACGCTTACAGCAGCGGACAGACTTACGGGAATGGGCAGAACCTGTACTCATTTGTGTCTGTGGAGGATGAGGGGTTCTGTGGAAAAGGTGGGTCAAGCTGTAATAGCCAGCAAACCATGGGTTTATTAAGCCAGCAAATGAACTTGTATCACAGCTACTTTGACAATACAGATGTCAGCGTGGATGCAGAAGACACCTTCAACTTCCAGAGCACCTCTGACACTGTCACACCATTTTCAAGCTTTACACAGAATCAATGCCAGTTACCTTGGCATCCCATGGGGACTCAGAGTGGGTATGAGTCTCAGGTCTGAGTATTTTTTTCTCCCATCTCTTGTGTCCACGCATGGGATTTCCAGGGTTTTGACTTGGATACGTTTTGTTTGTTTTTCTTGTCCCTCCTCCACTATTGCTGTTTTAACTAGTAGAAGGGCTCAGCGCCCTGCTGCCTGGGGTTTGTTAACTGTTTAAATGTCCCTGTCTGTTCATAGCTAACCCTTGGCGCAAAGATGCTTAGGGTATTAAAGAGATTGAACCTCATTCATTGAGGCCAGTGTGCAATGTTGCAGCTGTGAGCAGCAGAGGTTGTTAAGGTCTGTTTGTTGTACAAGTTTCACCTTCTTCTTTGCTGCTTCTCTAGCAGGTGGTCTCTGATCCTTGCCCGGTGTGTCTTGCAGCACAGCTTCCACTGCAAAGGAGGTGAATACTTGTTGCAGAATAATGTTTCATAAAGTTTGTTTTTTGCAGTGTTAACAAGCATGTTTCATGTTATGTCCATATTGTGTTTTATTGCTTTTTCTGGTTAAAGTTCAATGCTCTTAATGTTAAATGTTCTTACAAAGTTGTTTGCATTGAAAATAAATTACTCTTATTTAAATGTTGTGACAATGTCACCAGCTTGCATTTGAACAACCGGCTATGAGTGGTTATTTTATCAGCCTGGTTTTATTATGCAGGTCTGTAGCCTAGTGCAAGGAGGGCGAGGGAAGATCCAGGGCTAGGCAACTGGACAAGCTACTGGCCTGAAGTGAGGTGCAGCCCTGTAACGTGCTTATATTAGCCCTTAAATAGTAGTGCTTCAAAAAGAAGTATTGGAAGAAGGATGGAGCAAAAGAAAGTGTCCTAGAGATTGTGTGGCCTCCTGGTGCTCCAGCAGGTCACAATTGGATGTCAGGAATCCCACATAATTAAATATACAGCTCTGTTGGGATTCTTGTGCTGGCTCCAAATGGCAACAGAGGTTTGCGAATCGGTAACTGCATCTCCTGCCTCCAGCACTGAAACAAAACCAGAACCAAGTAAGTACACTAACACCACCCAAGCCCTTCATCTCTCCAAAAGGACTAATTCAAGGGTACTCCCACTGAGCACAATTGGCTAAACTGGCAGCTGACTGCTCAGGCTCAAACTGCTACAGGTCCTTTGCTGACCAGAACCTGCTCCTGTGGATGCAAAGCTTCTCCCCCTCTTTCCATTTGCACCTCTGCAATCTTCTGCTCTTGAGGAAATGTACAATAGGTACAGGAAGGAGAGAGGACAAAATGAGTCACATAATAAGGTGGGCTGCCAACCTTAAAACAGCAGAAAAAGGCCTGAAAGAGTGGGAAATGCCAAATTCATGTGATTTTCGGTATTGCAGAACAAGAGATCCTTTCTCACCTGGATGGGAGATTCATATCCCAATAAGAATGTGTATGAATTGAGTATTTCTCTAGCAATATTCATTTCAACAAGTGAAAAAACAAAGCTGAACTATAGAAATCATGTATAGAAGCCATACATACTATGCCTTTCAGCTTTAAAATTAGGAGCCTGTGTTTTTGGGGTTCTTTTAAGATGCAGTCTTAAGAAGTAAGGTATACAGGTCTGCAGAACAATTGCAGAGGAAGCCTGCTGCAGTTTACCTGTGCTACTTGCTATATTTTGTTTCCATGTCTCTGCTGTAAGGGTAAGGAGATGGCCAGAACTCCTGCTGGCAGATGTCCTTCTGCAGAAACAGGTATTGTTGCTAAAACAGCCCTGGAGCTGAGAATGATTGCTCTCATGTTGTGGTTAGTGTTACTCCATGTACTAGGGGAGTGTTCTGTGAAAATTTGAGTGTTCCCTCATGGCTGCGTTATTCCCCTGGTTGCTCAGCCTGGGTTGTGTGCAAACCTGTGCGCAGGTTTGGCAAGCAAATGTAGCTGGAGGGAACATGTGGAGTTGCTCAAGTTATGGAAGGTAGTCTGGAATGGACTCCTAGTTGCTCAGGAAGTGTTTCTAGAGCCTTTGGAATTAAAAACCAGGACTCTGACTTTTCACAGAGCTCTCTCTTGGTGATCTCTTCTGTTACCTTCACATGCCTGAATCACATCACCATCTGAAACAACTGCACGGGTAAAGTTATTTCTGCTACACTGAGATTAAATACACCGCTATTAGGACTGCTGCTTTTTGTGACAGGGCTGTGTAACAGTAACTTCTGCCCACTGCAAACATGATTTGCCTTGCCAGTGTATCTTTTCAGAATCAAGCTGTAAAATGATTTGGAGCTCTTCATATGTGGTACAGCTTGTGGGAATACACTCCTCCTTTACAATAGCTGAAGCAATGAAAAAGCTGCAGATGTTGTTCCAGTGATGCTGAGAATCCCACCTAAACAGAAGACATTGGTCCAGTATAGATTATGTAGACCAGGATTTTATTCTGTAGCTCACTGCGTTCCAGCTGTCCCACAGGGAAAATACCAAGCAGGTAGAGCGGTGCAAGCAACCTCATTCCTTGCTCTCCACACCAATGTGACCTGCAGGGGTTTTACAAGCTACATGTTTCTTCTGAGTGATCCATGAGCAAGGGCTCACAGCCCCAGTTGTCTCTCCAGTGCAGATAAAAGTAACGATCTTTGCTTTAATAGGCTCTTCCCTACAGGCAGAGGTAAACATATTTGGTTATCTAACTACACCACGTGACTTGAAGGCTGAGCTCACAGGGTTTTGGAAATTTTCAGTCAAGCACTGCCACGTGTCTCTTGCCTGGCCCGCCGGTCATCAGAGGGCAGCAGCATATTTGCTCATACTGAATAGTCATGTGACATGAATGACTCTAAATCGTTACATTTTATCATTGAAATAAAAGGAAAAAGAAACTTAAAAAAAACAACCCAACAACAAAAATCCAAACCAAAACAAAAAACCCAAGTCTTTTCCTACCAAGTTATCTTCATGATGCCCAAAGATTTGAAGAGTGCCCTCAGCAGCTATCTGTGACTCTCTTTCAAAACCGGGATAAAATTAATTTCTCACATTTGACAAAAGTCCATCTGCTGTCTTTTTTACAAATTACAGCACTGGGCCTTCTGCTTTGGGTGAGCCCCAAGATCCAGCTAAGTCACTGCTTAGATACAAGAGAAAGACCAGAAAAGAAACCAAGTCCCCAATGTCCCTCTGGCTACCTGGGGCTGAGGGCCTCCAACAGAAGTTGCATTCCTGCTGTTTTTACACAGGACGTTGGGAATGCAGCTCCTGATACAGTAGACATCAGTGATCTCCCTTCCCGGAAGCTGCTTACTTGCCTGTTGCAATTGCTGCAGGCTTTTTAACTCCATAATCGCCTGTGGCAATAAGGTCTGTCTTTGAATGATGACTTTTGAAAAATTGTGTCTGAGGAAACCTTCAGACACAAAAAAGTATTCGCTAGTGTTTGTTAGCACTGCTTCGCTGAAGGTCAAATAGCAGGGAGATCACAGCTGTTGCTCTTGCAGACAGCAGCTTTCTGCAAGCCAATCCCAGAGCCTCCACAGCAAAATCCTGCCTGTCCAAAAGCATCTCTGAAGGAGCAGGGCATGTCATGTGCCTCTTTTTCCAGGAGTTATTATTAGTGAGGACCAGCTGCAAGCTCACTTTTTTTCACCTACAGCAGCTTTTGATGGGTTGGCAGGGAAAGGTTTTAGCTTATATTCAGGTAAGTTAACAGAATCGTTGACTTGAGAGGAACTGAAAAATATCTTAATTCTGGTGTGAGAGCCCTGATAATCGCCGCTATTGTCCACCTTCCGAGGTTAGCCAGCACCTTTTCAGTTGACTTAATTGTTCCCCACCCCTCTAATGGTCTCAAGAACAGTCTTGCCCTTTCTTAGCTAGGCGCTGGTTGTAAGAGGAGAAGGGTGGGAGTTGTGCCAAGATTATGACTCACCATCCAAAAGGCCTTATCTTTCCCCGAATCATGCTGGCCAGGTGTTGTGGTTCAATGCCAGGCAGCAAATAAGCACCATGCAGCCACTTAACTTGATCACTCCCCACCAATGGAATGGAGGAGAGAATCAGAAGAGTGAGAAAACTCGTGGATTGAGATAAAAACATCTTAATAGGTAAAGCAAAAGCCGTACACACAAACAAAGCAAACCAAGGAATTAATTCACCCCTTCTCATAGGCAGGTCACCTCCAGGATAGCAGAGCCTCATCCTGTGTAGAAAGACAAACTCCATGACTCTGGATATCCCCCTCTTCCCCCTCACCCCAACTTTCTTTCTGACCCCAATGCCATATGGTATGGAATACCCTTTTGGTCAGTTGGGGTCAGCGGTCCCAGCTGTATCTCCTCCAAACTCCTTGTGCACCCCCAGCCTTCTTGCTGTCAGGGAGATAACGAGAAGCAGAAAAGGACTTGAAATTGTGCAAGCCCTGCTCAGCAGTAATGAAAACATCTCTGTATTATCAACTCCATTCTCAGCACAAATCCAAAACACAGCCCCATCCCAGATACTGTGAAGAAAATTAACAAGCACAGCCAAAGTCAGCACACCGTAGAGTTTACAGCAGAGTCAAAGAGTATCTGCATGAGGGAGTGGGAGAGGGAACAAACAGCTGTAAGGTACAGGGACATAAATCAGCTTTGCCAAGAAGACCATGCCTCTTATTACTCCACTTACAGAAATCACTGTCTTCATTTTATGCTTTTTTTTTTTTTTAACCACAGTAGCTACTTCATTGCATTAAGAGAAATTCATTGTCATCATCAAAGAGTGATAGAAAAAGTGATAGAAAACCTGTGACTCTGGGAACTGGAGGCCTGTTATTACATATACTTTGCTATACACATCTGGTTTAGGTACTTAGACACTTACATAATCAAGTTTAGAAATTATAGTACCCCCATGGCAGTCCCCATATTCAATATTGCTGGATAGGGAAAATTCTTAAGGTGGGTGATAGTTACTCACCTGTTTCTTTGACTCGAGATACCTGACATTGCCAAGAACCATGAAGCTGATCTACTAATAACACAGAAAAATTTCTGTTTATGGTTTCAGCATCAAGTAACAATGGCATACAGTTG